TGACCCCACAAGTAACCACTGCGTCAGGTTTATAACTTTTGTAGTGAAATATTTGTAATCTGAAGTGAGGCAAACAGGCTTTTTAGTTTTTGTCAAATTATATTTTTAGGTCTGTAGGATCATAGGAAAGGGTGGTCCCCACTATGTAGCAATTCTGACAGGTGACCCCCATGATGCATAAAAACAAGTGTGTGTCTGTGTGTGTGTGAGTGAGAGAGAGAGTGTGTGCGTGTGTGAGTGAGAGAGCGAGTGTGTGCGTGTGTGTGTGAGCGAGAGAGTGTGTGCGTGTGTGTGTGAGAGAAAGAGTGTGCGCGTGTGTGTGTGCGTGTGTGTGTGTGTGTGTAGACATACATTTCTTTAGTCCTGCTGTAATCCTGGATTCTCCTCCATGATCCACACTAGAAAACACACACAGAGTCACATTCAGTCAGTGAACACAAGTTTTAGTTTAGTAATTTTAAAATAATTTTTGACAGACAAATTTTAAAAATACTGGCCTAAAAAATGCTTTGCAGTTGCTAAAGTACTTGGGGTGGTTGCTAGGCAGTTGCTAGGGCACACGGGGTGATTGCTAGACTGTTGCTAGGCTGTTGCTAGGGCACACGGGGTGGTTGCTAGACTGTTGCTAGGCAGTTGCTAGGGCACACAGGGTGGTTGCTAGACTGCTGCTAGACTGTTGCTAGGGAACACGGGATGGTTGCTAGGGTCTCGCTATGCAGTTCCTAGTATTATTATCACATTGCTAGCATGTATTGGAATGATTTAGCATGTTCTAGGCTTGATTGAGTCTCAAGGGATTCTGGGAGTTTAGATTAGAATTTTGTCAGAGTTTGAATAGTCTCGGCTCATCTGAACATTCCTTTGATGTAAGTCTGTGGGATTTTTATGGCTTTTAATATTTTTCTATAATTTTTTCTTTATTTTCAGGTGTTTCTCAGAGACTGAACTGGTTTAAAGCACAGAGATCCTGCAGCAATAAAATCTCTTCCTGAACTTTACAAGAGCTTGAAGAAACACAGCGGTGAGACGCGTGTTTGAGTCTCAAACCAGACCACGAAATCAACACAGTAATATTTGTCTGTACTATCAAAAACACATCTGAATCAGAAATGTTCATGAGTAAACACTGATAACAGAGATCAGAAATGAATAAGAGACAAATACATTTTAAAGCATCTGATGAAAACAAACCTGGAAAGAGACGTGAAGATTTGAGGAGAAACACCAGAGATTCTTAGAGCATTCAGTGAATTATTCATGAGATGAAAAATACAAAAGAGCAAAATGCAAATGAAAATGAAAATGCTCAGGAGGAAACGAATGAAAAGAGCTCTTCTATAGAGAATGTGAAGCTACGTCACGCAGTGTTGCATGCTGGGACAC